AATCATTTCACACAATATATGTAAATCAAGCTATCATGCTGTGTGCCTTAAATTTACACAGTGATGTATGCCAATTATTTCTCAGTAAAACTGGGGGGGGATTAAAAAACAACCTTCTTAATAATCTTAAAATTAGGGGTCACTAGCTTATGTCTATAGAAAATGTCAGAATAGAAAATGTATCCTGGTGTTCCTGACTATTTCGGTAGTCTGAATTAAGTCAAGCCCTTTGTGGCCCAGTCTTAGCATAATGTAAAATTAAGAGAAAACAGTCCCGAAAAATAATGAAAAGCAATAAAAATCTTTACTTCAGAAAACTGGGTGTGTGTGGTGTGTGTGGTGAGCAGATACGTCCTTAATGTAGAGCAAAACTTATAAAGTAGTTTTTTCCTATCTGTCATTTCAACGTCTCTCCCCCATAAGCAGCTGTTCCTTAAAATCTCTACTAATATTCTCCAAGAAACTTAAATACTCTCATGCTTTATCCCATTTCTTCCCTGGGATCCAATCTATCTTTCCTCAGTCATTTGCTTTCTTTTCAATGTAAATTTTACCAATCTTTCCTTTCTTAGGCATTTCCTTTCTGCTCTCCCAACATGCTTCTCTACACACTCCAACACACACACACACACACACAGAGTACACTCTTCATTCTGCTCTACCTAATTAAGGCCAGACTTAAAGGAAGGGAAAAAGGTTACATGGACAACACGAAAATATTCCTTAGCAGGTGAGAGGAAAGAAGCTGTGAATATGCATGCCTTGATATTTATTACTGTCATACATTTTATTCTCTGTTATCTATGTGTAGCACGACAAAACATTTATCAATGTAGTATGCTGCCATGGATCTGTAGCAACCAAAATCACACTTCTGAAATGTTCCTTGGTTAGAGACTGAAAGGTAAATATCAGTTAAATATTTCTATCTGATTTTCTAAGTATTCCCAGGTGAAAAAAAATGCCTGCAGGGCCTAAGAATAAAGAATGGCAAATAAACAAAGTGGCAGCAGTGACTGATACATGTTAAAATTAATTTTTCATTTTAAAAAGCTGAACATTGTTATGTTCTGATGATGAACAAATTGGGTTCTGCCAAACCAAGGAAGACTGGGAATTTCAGATGGAGTGCCCTGAAGTGCTTGTCCCTCGTAGGTGGCACCAAGGGACAATCTGCAGAGGCATCAGTGTGTTGAGTATGTGGAGGAACAACCCAGCAAACATCATCTGTCAGGCTTCTGTAAGCCCTGCTTACAGGCTGGCCTGCTCTTGTTTGCAGGAGCTCTGTCTCCACAGAGAGAGACAGACAGACAGAGACTGAGAAGCAGAAAGATAGAAGCCAGAGAGACCTCTCCTTTGGCAGGACTAAATAGTACTTTAACGTATTATGGGATATAGTGGCCACCAGATTTTTAGCATAGTGTTAACTATCAGTAGATTAGATTAGCACATTTTACCTTGAAAGTACCACACAAATATAAAAGTTGGCTATTGGATGATAACCATATGGGTAGTATTTTCACAAACATTATCTCATTTGTTCTCATGAAATCTTATGGGGAAGCATAACAAATATTATCAACACTATTTTAAAGAAATGGGGAACGGATTAAGCACTTACTGAACCTAGTCCTCCAATTTCCAAGATCGTTTTTAAAAACCTCATGTATTATCATACAATGAATTTAACAATTTAAATTTAACAGTTTTTACCATTAAATTTCTCCGATCTATTGCATTTGGTCATCACTTTCAATTTAGTGTATTTCCCCTGTCTTTTCCTATTTTTCCATGACCTAGAAATTTTTGAAGAGTCCCGTCCAGATAGTTTAAAGACTGCCCCACAGTCTGGATTTGTCTGATTGTTTCTTCATGATTAAATTCAAGTTAAACATTTTTGGCAAGAATATTCCTTAGGTGTTGTTACAGTTCCCACTAAATCCATTAGGAGGCACATAGGGTCACACTGTCCCATTATTGATGATGCTCCATTTGATCATTTCCTTTATGATAATGCCCACTAGATTTCCCCATGGTAAAAATATAACTTTCCCCTCCGTTCTAAATAAGTAATTTGATATGGTAAGTATGATATTTTGAGACCATATGAATATCTGTTCCCCCAAAGCCTTTGTCTTAATGGTTTTATCATACATTGATGATCCTTTCCTGAGTCAGTTATTACACTGGGAACTGCAAAATGGTGATTTACTAAACCTGTTTTTCCTTGTACATTTATGAGCTGGCATTCATTTGTAAAGAAGAGCTTACTTTTTTTTTAAACCCTCTTCTCCATAAGCAAGCAATCAATCTCCACCTCCCCTTTCTCTCTCATTATAGACTCAGAGATACTTTTTAAACAGTAGATTGCATTTTAATCCACACAGATACTTTTTTCTTTATAAATTTATTTATTTAGTTTATTTACTTTTGGCTGCATTGGGTCATTACCGTGCGTGGGCTTTTCTCTAGTTGCCACGAGCAGGCGCTACTCTTCGTTGTGGCGCGGGCTTCTCATTGCAGTGCCTTCTCTTGTTGCAGAGCGCGGGCTCTAGGCGCGCGGGCTCTAGGCGCGCGGGCTCTAGAGCGCAGGCTCAGTAGTTGTGGCGCACGGCCTTAGTTGCTCCGCGGCATGTGGGATCTTCCCGGACCAGCGCTCGAATCCATGTCCCCTGCACTGGGAGGGGGATTCTTAACCACTGCGCCACCAGGGAAGCCCTAGACTCATAGATACGTTTTGAATTCAAACTTTTATAATCCAGTGCTACTCAAACCGAGGTCCATAGATCAGCAGCAGCAACCTCACCTGCAAGCTGCTTAGAAATGTAAATTCTCAGAGATAAACCCACGCACATATGGTCACCTTATC